CCTGGACCCATAACCCCTTTGAGGTCCTCACCTGGACCCATAACTCTTTCAAGGTCCTCACCTGGACCCATAACTCCTTCGAAGTTCTCTCCTGGACCCATAAGTGATGTAAGGTCCCCTCCTGGACCCACAACTCATGGGAGGTCCTCACCTGGACCCACAACTCATGGGAGGTCCTCACCTGGACCCACAACTCCTTCGAAGTTCTCCCCTGGACCCATAACTGGTGGAAGGTCCTCACCTGGCCCCATAACTCATGGGAGGTCCCCTCCTGGACCCATAACTGGTGCAAGCTCCTCCCCATCTCCACACCCAATGCCATGGGCCAGCTTCCAAGACCCCTTGGCCAACGGCAAGCTCCTCCCCATCCTCATGACCAATCTCATGAGTTGGGACATTCTCCAAGACCTCTCGGCCCATGGAAGCTCCTCCCCATGACCAACGCCATGGGGTGGGACATCCCCAAGCCCCTTGGCCCATGGAAGCTCCTCCCCATCCCCATGACCAACACCATGGGATGTCCTCCAAGACCCCTTGGCCAACGGTAAGCTCCTCCCCATCTCCAAGCCACCCCTTCCAACCCATCTTCTTCTGACCCCTCCCCCCCAGTTTGCCGCTCTTCATCGAGGCCCATCCCCCCTGAGGTCCAAGTCCTCTCCACCGCCTCCTGCTGCGCCGGCGCCGACGAGACCTCAGTGGAGCTCCTCTGCCTCATCACCGGCTTCTCCCCGGCGGCGGTGGAGGTCGAGTGGTTGATCGATGGACAACCAGGCTACTTGACGGCCACCCAAAGCCCACCTCAACGGGAAGGGGGAGGAGCCACCTACTCGACCTCCAGCCGGGTCAACATCAGCCACATTGAGTGGGTGGAAGGGAAGATCTTCACCTGCCAGGTCAAACACCCGGCGTCCCACAAGGTCATCCAGGAGCACGCCCAGTACTGCCCAGGTGAGGAGGTGGGGTGGGGTGGGGACAGTGGGGGAGAGGACAGGGTGCCAGGGGGGTGGTCGTGATGGGTGGCACCCATGGAGAAGGTTGGGTGATTGTGATGGGTGGCACCAGTGGAGAAGGTTCCTTGATTGTCGTTGGTGGCACCCATGGAGAAGGTTCCATGACCAGGGTTGGTGGCCCCAATGATGGTTGGGTGACCATGATGGGTGTCACCAGTGGAGAAGGTTCCATGATTGTGGTTGGTGGCCCCAGTGAAGGTTGGGTGACCATGATGATGGCACCCATGGAGAAGGTTCCATGACCAGGGTTGGTGGAACCAGTGAAGGTTGAGTGACTGTGGCTGGCGGCACCAATGGAGAAGGTTGGGTGACCATGATGGGTGGCACCATTGAAGGTTGAGTGACCACGGTTGGTGGCACTGATGGAGAAGGTTGGGTGACCCTGGTTGGTCGTACTCGTGGAGGTTGGGTGACCCCAGTTGGTGGCACCAGTGAAGGTTGGGTGACCATGGTTGGTGGCACCCGTGGAGAAGGCTCCATGATTGTGGTTGGTGGAACCAGTGAAGGTTGAGTGACCACGGTTGGTGACCCAAGTGGGAGGTTGAGTGACCATGATGGGTGGCACCGGTGGAGAAGGTTCCGTGATTGTGGTTGGTGGCACCCATGGAGAAGGATCCATGAGCAGGGTTGGTGGAACCAGTGAAGGTTGGGTGACCGTGGTTGGTGGCACCCGTGAAGTAGCTTCCATGATTGTGGTTGGCAGCACCCATGGAGAAGGTTGGGTGACCATGATTGGTGACCCCATTGAAGGTGAGTCACCATGGTTGGTGGCACCAGTGGAGGTTGGGTGACCACGGTTGGTGGCACCAATGGAGAAGGTTGGGTGACCATGATGGGTGGCCCTAGTGAAGTTTGGGTGACCACGATGGATGGTACCCATGGAGAAGGTTGGGTGACCACAGTTGGTGGCACCAGTGGAGAAGGTTCCATGACCACGGTTGGTTACCCCAGTGAAGGTTGGGTGACCCTGATGGGTGTCACTAGTGGAGAAGCTCCCATGACCATGGTTGGTGACATCAGTGAAGGTTGAGTGACCACGGTTGGTGGCCCCAGTGGAGGTTCCATGACCATGGTTGGTGACCCCAGTGAAGGTTGGGTGACCCTGATGGGTCTCACCAGCGGAGAAGCTTCCATGACCACGCTTGGTGACCCCATTGACCCCCGGCTCCTCCACCCCACCCCACCCCACACCCACAGGCATCGTCAACCCCAGCAACATTGTCCTCCACGTCCTTCCACCCAACGTGGCCGACCTCTACATCTCCGGCGCCCCCAAGCTCCGTTGCTTGGCCGTCAACTTGCCCAGCGACTCTGGTTTCCAACTTCTCTGGATCACGGAGAAGCCCGGGCTCCTCAACCCCGATGTTTTGGACCTCCAAGAACAATTTAATGGCACCTTCACGGCCACCAGCACCTTGAGCATCTCCCCCCAAAGCTGGGAAGCCGGCCACCACTTCACCTGCATGGTCAAGTACCAAGATCTCCCGGTGCCCCTCAACAAAACCATCTCCAGGCACTTGGGTGAGTGACTCCACCTCCATGTCCACCACCCCCACCCCACCCTTCTCCACCACCCAACCCTCCCAACCTTCTCCTTCCACCAGGCAAGGTCCTCCCGCCCTTCATCTACGTCTTCTCGCCCCACCCGGAGGAGCTGACCCAAGCCCACGTCACCCTCACCTGCTTCGTCCGGGGCTTCCAACCCAACAGCCTCCAAGTCCAATGGTTGAAGAACCACCAGAACCTCCCGGAGGAGGATTACGTCACCACCCCCCCTCTCCGAGAAGGTCCCAAGGAGACCACCTCCTTCGTCTACAGCAAGTTGACCATCACCAAGGCCAGCTGGGCCTCTGGAGACACCTACGCCTGCATGGTGGTCCATGAAGGGTTGCCCATTAAGTTCACCCAACGTCAAGTGC